AGCAGGAAGGCTGATCTCTAAAAATATTGACAGCAGTCTTAGGAGAGGTAGGGTATAGCCACATGAGAAGGTAAGAAATTTTTCTTGTCTTTTTATTTCTCTCTCCAAACCCATGGTCAGTTTTGCTTGTGTAATTGTTTTCTCTTATATAATCACTCCATTTGCTGTTTTGTCTCCTTACTGTGGCAAAAGTGATTGCTGAGTGAGAGATTCCAGTCTAACCCTTTCTATGGAAAGGGGAACCTACAATTTCTTTCACAACCCAACAGGATGGCCATCCAGGGCTGGGAGAGATTCCCTTATAGCAGCTGCAGAGTCCAGTATAAGGGCAGTGGAGTTGAGGCATGCTGGGATAAGGAGATCTTAAGGCAATCTTGGTCTGTGGGGCAAGTGGCAGCACAGTGGAGAGAAATTCTGGGGGTGCCCTGTGGATGGGTTTGTGACAGTTGCCATTTGTGAACAGTTGATTCTCGTTCTGGGATAATGTGAAATTTTTTTATTTACATATTTTTTCAGCTTTTCCCTCGCTATTGTCCAATATTAAAAGCAGTTAGAGAAAGACTGTGAATATGCAAATCAAATTCCTTCACCACTAATTAATTTGTGTGTTTAAGTGAGAACCCATTTCAACCCATTTCCTAAGTACCTGATTCATAAAGTGTGTCTGTCTAGGAAAGCATTCATCCATATTGTTAAATAGGGAGATTTTAGCAGGTGCTTAAATTTAAGCATGTACTTGAATACTTCTCAGAATAGGTATAAGTGTATGATCATATGCTTCTGCGCCTAATGCCTGGGAGTAATAGAACTCATAGGAAATTACCAGGATGTAAATAAGAAATTGGCCCTCTTTACTAAAGGCAAGACAATCAGACAGACCACTCTTATCTCTCATTCTGAGTGGACAATTTCTTCTGTAGAAGACCAGTTTCTGACCTTCTGTACATTTTCTAATTTAAAGTCTGCTTCTTTTTCTCAATCTGAGCATCTCCTTGAGTATTACATGGAAATTAAACTATAGTAAGATAGTAATAACTTTGCAGTTACATACTTAACATTAGGACATATAAAATTGAAAGCTGCATGTACAAATTGAATTTTAGCCACTTGTGCATGTGGCATGTAGCATGTATGCTACAACTTCAGTAACATTTCTGATTATTGGAGTAATATCATTGAAATAAGAAAGAAAGAAATTGCAGAATGTGGTCTACTGTGTTTAGTTCTCTCATCAGATGAAAGGTTTTACTCATAATAGTTGAATAAGACAGAACTTTCTTTAGACAGCTTTTTGGTTATCAATTTTAATCATTTGTATAATTTACATAAGATAAATAGGCAAGATGCTCATATATTTTTGTCCTCAATCTTTCATAATATCAAAGAATTTTGCAATGTAGGGGAGTCACAGTTGCTCCATTCTGGTCTCAATTCAGCAAAGAATGTAAATATTGTAGTTCTATTGACTTAAAGCCTGGCAAATACCTATGGAACCATCATTAGTTTAGACCCATTCTTGCTCCCATCTGCTGAAAGCTTATCATTGATTTCAATGGATTTAGAGTCAAGGATTTGGTTAGAAGGGTCACTGATCACTGCTAAATTTATTCTGATGGACAGCAAATGGCTGACATACTTTGTACTGACTCAAGACAGAAGCTACTGATTTTCTCAAAAAACTTACCAATGCCCTCATTTCTACATTCTCTGAAGCTTCCAACCATTAGTTACCTGGACATTCACAATCAATGATAAAATATTATTATTTACTTTGGTACTTCAGTCAAAGAGTAAGACTCTAGTCAACCTAATTTACAACCTTAATGAATGGTAATTTTTGAAATTTGCAGAGTACAAATAAAAGTTTCAAGTGGGAATTGCCTGTTTCTGAAGAATGTGCATACTTTTCAGCTAGAGCCAAAGGCTATACCTTTCTTAGACTAGGATTGCACTTGACTGATTGTGGGAACTGATTGCAAGGATCTGGATAAACTTAATGAGACATGTATTAACTGGAGTTATCCTAAGAAAAAAACCCACTAAAACTAAGGCTAAATTAAAGAAATAGGTGTTAAGTGCAATGCCTTTCTAATTTCTGGAATTTTTACTCACTATGTTTCTAACAAAAGATATAGAAGGTCCTGGAAAATCTCATATATTTTTACTTAAGAGGCTGAGACTGTAATTATTTTGTCAATTACCATGGTCTTAATCCAAAAAAGAAAGAGGGACTCTACAAGGATGTCTATAGTAATAGAAACTATAGCCCCCCCTACCGAATGAGGAAAGCAATCTAGTTATAGATGACGCAGAAAAAGCTGAAGTATTTAATGCCTTTTTTATTTCCATCTGCACAAATGAGGGCAGCTACCAGAGGATCAGAGCAATCAGCAACAAATATAGGGAAGGAGTCAAGCATCCCATAGTAATGGCAAAAAGTACAGAGATTACTTAGGTAAAATGGATGCTTTCAAATGGGCAGGGCTGGATAGAATGCACTTTAGGATACTGAAGGAATTGGCTGAAGTAATTTCAGAGACATTGGCTATCCTTTTTGGTAATTATGCGAAGGTCAGATAAGGTCTCAGATAATTGGTTAAAAGGGCAAATACAGAGCTCATCTTTAAGAAAGAGAAGAAAGAGGTTCTGAAAAATTACAGAACAGTTGACCTTGACACCGGGAAAGATCATGAAGTAGATCCTTAAGGAATATATTGTGAAGCATCTAGAGGAGAAGAAGGTGATCAGTGTCGTGAATCAGAGCAGCTGCCGGCAGCCGCCTGACTCACACATCGGAGTGTTTAGATTTAGAACTCGGCAGGCGGGTAGTGATGGATGGAGTGGAATTAACCAGGCACAGACACGTGTAGGTTACAGGAGTTTGTTTACTTACGTTGCCTAGATAGTGATGGATGACGCAGGCGAGCCTTTGTTCCGTTACAGCTTCGGTTACAGAGTTGAATATATGCATATAACTTCGGTTACAGAGTCGAATACATGCACGCAGTTAGGTTACGACAAGATAATGATGGACGTGGCGCCGGGAACGGACGGTCGCGCTTGCAAGACTTTCTACGTCAATATTTTACGCTGACAGGGCGATTGATTGAGAATTGATCAATTTCCCAATTCTCTGGTGACAAGCACAGGTGTTTCCTGTGAGATCCCCAGAGCTCTCCACCTTGGGCGGAAAGCGTTAAACTATTTATAGGCAGAGGTGTTTTACAGGAATATCCAATGGTGAACCGTTATATGGAATCTTTAATTTTTGGCAGGTGGCAGCTCTTTGTCTCCTCAAGTTACAAGGTAGTGGGTTAGGTTTCTCTACCTGTTACGTGTGTGCTACGTGTGAGGAGCTTACGCTTATTTTTGGACCAATTATATATAGTTTCCCCTAGCATTTTATTTCAGCTGTCCAATTATCTGTAGTACACCACCAGTGTTTTGTTTCAAGGAATTTCTTGGCAGGGAAGTCTTTTAACCCTTAATATTCAAATGAAGATGATTTGAATGGTATCTCTTGCTCAGTGGCATGGGCACAAGTTAATTGGGTTGTGACAATCAGAACAACCAAGAGGAAGTCATTCCTGCCTTACCTAATTTCCTTCTATGATGAAGTGATAGACTTTGTGGATTGCAAGGCACCATCTTTGACTATCTCCCACAACATTGTCACAAGCTGTGATGCTGGGTTTTGAGTTGCCAGGACTGGCGGCACTTGAACATTGAGGTGTTGACCAGAGACAGGAGGAATGATCAGAATTCAGGTACAATCCAGGTCAGAAAGCCAAGAAGTCAGTCTGAGACTGGGGTCTAAGAACAAGCTAAGCGGGAAAACCAGGAAATCAAGCAGAGAGCAGAATCAGAGAAAAAGTTAGGTCAAGAAGCCAGGAGACTAAGCAGAGAACAGAGCTAGAAAGTAAATCAGGATGAGAAGTCATGGGATCAAGCAGAGAACAGTCACAGCACAAGCCAGACGGAACAAGGAAGCAATCTGAGATGAGGTTGCTTTCTGTTGCCCAGACACTTCCTGTTTCAAGTCGGGTTTATATGGTGGAAATAGATGGTCAGCTGACCCTGGCCATCCACTCCAGTGCCAGTGAGTGGGGCAGAGACATCGGCCCTGTTGGGGGCTTCAGAATAGCCTTGACTTACCTGGGTGACCAGCTGTAGGGCAGCAGACTGAGATGAGTGGTCACACAGACCAGGCCAAGACCCCAGGTTTGAGGCTGTGGCCTGAAACAAGCTAAGGATATACAGAGTAGATGAAAACAATGTAAGGTGGGTACACAACTGGTTGAATCATCATGCTCAATGAGCAGTCATCAATGACTAGCTGGAAAAAGTTACCAAATACAATTTCCCCGGGGTCCATCCTGGAGCTGGTATTGTTCAACATCTTCCTAAATGATTTAGACAATAGGATTGAGTGCATGCTTAGCAAATTTGTACATGACCCTAAGTAGGGTAGTTTCAGATATAATAAGAGTACAGAGC